CCATCTATCCACCGATCTATCTATCTATCTATCTATCTATCTATCTATCTATCTATCTATCTATCTATCTATCTATCTATCTATCTATCTATCTATCTATCTATCTATCTATCTATCTATCTATCTATCTATCTATCTATCCATCCATCCATCCATCCATCCATCCATCCATCCATCCATCCATCCATCCATCCATCCATCCATCCATCCATCCATCCATCCATCCATCCATGGGGCTTACGGCACTAATAAAGACCACCAAATGGTCTCTGAAATGCCACAGGGCTCCTTGTGAGTGTTTGTTTTCTGCTGCAAGACTACCACAAATTGACAGGAATTCCACCGTGAGGACAAACTGTAAACCCCTTCCCAGCTTGCCCGCTCCCCTTCCCAGCATAACCTCCGGACAAGGCAGCAGGCTAATGTTAAATATGGCATGCATTTTAAGCACATTAATATATGCAAAAATACATTTTCTCTCAAGGCAGAAGGGCAGGGCAGGGTGACATGTGCAGCGAACTGGAGAGCTGCTCCCTCCTCCCTAACCACGGAGTGAGGCTGCTCCATCTCAGCCTGGACTGTCTGGGCCTGCCTTTGGCCCCTGTCTCTCTCCTGGGGCCCCAGCAGCCCTTGGACACGCTCCCCAGCAGCAAGGCACCTCTTCTGCAGAGACAGACAGAGAGAAGCAGAGAGAGACACCCCAGGATTTATGCAGCTTGACTTGCTTCATTTGCATGCTGCCATCCTATTGGCTGAGGGAGCCTTTCAGACATGTCTGACGTGCAGGGGACAATAATAGACCTGGGAGCCCAGGGAATTGCAGGAAGGATGAGTTAACCCCTTCCTAACTGAATCTCTCTCCTCCCCCCATTCTGCTAATGTGGATAAGAAGGTGGATGGAAGAGAAGTGGAGGAGGGACACCATTTCAGGAAGGGCCTGTGGGTCTGGACTGTGTTCTCTGGCATCCTGGAGGGTGTTTCAAGTTTGCAACCTCTCCCCCCCCCTCAATAATTTGCCTAAGCAGAACAAATTGTAGCTGCAGGTTCAGTGTGTGCTTGGCAGTTGTTTTCTCTGGAACACCATGTGCCCATGCTTTGCAGATGTGAATAAGCCATCTGGCATTAAATTACTACAGGCACTGCTTTCTATTACACATCACCTGGTGGCTCTTTAAATGTTGTTTTGTTGGCAGCTGAATCATCGCAGGCAGAGGGATCTGACATCATTCAGATGTGAGACACTACAGCCCCCATTGAACCCAACATATCCAGAGGGTGCACTGTCGGGGAGCATAGTCATATGGCCTTGCATGACTCAGGTCTAACATCAGGGTGCAGGCAGAACAAGGGTCGGATTTAGGGAATCTCCTGCCTTCTGTGAATGCTTGCAGCACGTCTCCAAAAGTTCTCCCATTTTTTCCCATTGTGGTAACAGCTGGATCATCCCGCATGCCGTTTATGAAAAGCAACCCAAACCATGCAAAAACATATTTGATTCTGCATATTAGTAAGATTCTGTCAGTATTTTTCATTTTCTAACAGACAGTGGCCATAGATTGGTTTCTTTGTCCCAGCAGACTTTGGTGAATGCTGAGATTTCATTTGCACTAATGACAAACAACTCAGCTAGTCTGTCAAGCGCTTCCAGAATTATTATAAGCAAGGGGCTTATTCTTAGCAATATCCTTTTCTTTCCTTTTCTTCCCGTCCCACATTTTTTAACATCCAGCTTGTGCAGGAGTTCTGTCATGCTCCAAAGTTATCCTGTGGCTTTTTGGCTACAATCCTATTCCCGCTTTTCCTGGGACTAACCCGGCTGAATTCATTTAGGACTGACTCCTAAGTAAATGTGCATAGGACTGTGCTGTACGCAGCTAGTTCAGCGCTTTAGGATAATTTTTCTAAAGGACCCAAAGGACTGTCTGTCTCTTCAGTGAAAGTCTAATAAATGTTGTGTGGCTACTGATTTGTGTATTTATCCTCTCCATCTGGTTCTGCCTTCCACTGACAGAGGGGCCTTTTCAGAGGTAGTCCTGGCCCAAGAGCGTGGATCTCAGCGCCTGGTAGCCCTCAAATGTATTCCCAAGAAGGCCCTACGGGGCAAGGAAGCAGCTGTGGAGAATGAAATTGCTGTGCTCAAAAAGTAAGCCCGCCTTTGGTTCTCTTGCTGTTAGGTGTTCTTTCCTTCCAAAAGCTAAAATGAGTGAATGAGGGCTCTCCCAGAGTTGGTTTTAAATATCAGGGGTTCAGCTCTGTTTTAATGGTAATTATAATGATCACTACTAGGAAGCTTTTGCCTGAGTGAACCATCTCCACCGATCAGTCTTCAGGTGGTCAAAGTGGACACTCCTGGTTTGAATACAGAGGAGTGGTTCTCAGCCTAAGAAAAACAATGCAAATGCAGAAGCAGGGAATAGCTTTGATGAACCACTGAAAAATGAAGTGCATCACTAGCTTTCAGTGATGATCCATCTTCCTCGGGCTTTGTTCCAAAGTTTCATGGCATAGTTGTTAATGCCGGGCAAAAATTTCTTACAGGTGAATTGAGCAATATGTAAACAGCTGGTGGGTGGGTGGAAATTCTTCCTGGAACAGTATCTTGGAATTCAACTCACATCTCTTCAAACAAAGACCCATCAAGCAATTTACATCATCCTCTCCCCCACACACAATATCTTCTTTTGAAACTCCATGTTTCTATTTGCGGAAGGCGAGGAGGCAAAGAAGTTGCTCTTTCTCAGTCTCCATGTTTTCTGCTAGTGTAATAGGCCATTTCCTACTGATTCACCTGTGTCTATAATAGTGGAACACAAGTTCCTTGATAATTTAATTAGTCTGGCTTAATATGGAATGATAAGGCATTTTGCAGGGACAGCATGTCATGCAAGGATCTTTTGCACCAGCGCACCCAACTGCAGAGCTAGGATGAGCAAGCATATCCCCACCCTCCCAATTCCCCATTTTCTTTCAGAGCAGAGAATGCGGCTTCCATGTAGCCTTGAAGTCCTTCTGCCTTTCCCACAGGGCAGGTTTTGATACCAGGACAAATGTAAATAGATTTCCTGGCACTGAAAAAGGAGTGTATGGCATCTCCTTTAGAGGGGGCAGGAGTGGATTTATTACAGCGGTGCCTCGCATTACGATGTTAATTCGTTCCAGCGAAATCGCTGTAGAACGAAAACATTGTAAAGCAAAATTTAAAAGCCCATAGAAACGCATTAAAACCTGATCAATGTGTTCATATGGGCTTGAAACTCACCGTCCAGCGAAGATCCTCCATAGCGCGTCCATTTTCGCTGCCCGTGCAGCGAAGAATCCGTCCCAGAGAACAGCGGGCAGCCATTTTTTTACCTGGCGGCCATTTTGAAACCACCGATCAGCTGTAGGAAAATCGTCGTTTTGTGAGAATCGGTTCCTGAAGCAGGGAACCGATCATTGCAAAGCTAAATTCCTCCACAGGAAACATCATTTTGTGATCGCTTTTGCGATCGCAAAAACGTCGTCGTAATGCGATTTTGTCATAAAACGGAGTGCTCATCTTGCGAGGCACCACTGTATCATTCATTCCCAGAGTTGATGTCAGGACAGAGCTTGGAAATATTACTTGCAAAGAAACTTGCTACTCATCTGGCCTGCTTTAGACAAGGTAAGTAATGAGTACAGTAAAGCAGTAATATACTGTAATGTGTTTTTTAAACCCAGTGGATACCCATTGTGTTGTAGTGGAGAGAGTGGCAAACTAGGACTTTGGAGGCCTGCGTTTGATTCACCACTTATCCGTGGAGACTTATTGGGGTGTGTGGAGCTGTTAAAACCATTCCTTAAGATATCACTCTTTTCTTGGAAGCCCTCTTTAGGTTGCTATATATCACTTCTGACTTGATGGCACACAACAACATGTTTTTTTTTAATTAAAAAACCCCAGAAAGGGCTGACTACAAATTCCTCAAAAGTAATATTTTGGAAATAACAAATAAACAAACAAATAGATACTGGAACGACACAAACTGTTTAAAATGTTAGCATTATAGCACTACCGGCCTTCCTTCCAAAAACAAAGAGAAAAGAAATATTACACTGCTTCCGGCTTTCCTCTGAGTTAGGCTAAGAGCAGGGGTTGACCCAAAGTTAACTAGAGAGCTTCATGCTGAGTGGGGTGTTTGAACTGAGGTCTCCCTGTTCCTATTTTTCATACATCACATGGGATGCACTGGTTTTAAATCTGGCATAGGTGTCCTCAATTTTTCTCATTTTCTGAGTACGTTCCTTTCTCAGAGCCAGGGTAGAATCCAGAACTGTTGATTGCCACCCTATCCTTCCTTTCTTCATGCCTGTTAATCTCACTGGTGTTGCAGGATTCAACACGAGAACATTGTAGCTCTGGAGGACATTTACGAGAGCCCCAGCCACTTGTACCTGACGATGCAACTGTGAGTAAGAGCTCCTAGCACTCTGAATTCCACTCTGCCTTTTAGTTTGGAGTGGATATTGCTCCTGGTACCCCCTGCAACTCTTTCCCGGGGAGGCAGACACAGTATACGTATACAACAGTTGGGTTTTAACAATAGCACATCTACTGTATGTATGCTTTGCAAAGTAATACGAACAAGCATATAAGGACAGGTCCCCTGCATGCAGTAAGCCTACAATCTATACAAGTGTGGGCAAAGTGCAATATGAATGCCATTTTTCTGGCATCACCCCTGTGCCAATGGTGGTGTGTTTTTGTGCGTGCAAGTTTTGCTGCTTTTAATGGCTTCTGGATCCTGACAGTAGGGGAGGCATCAGAAAGATGAGAGAAATGTGAGATGCAAGGGAAAGACACTTACAGGTACCTAGACCTTCCTTGGTCAGGGACTACAAGGGGTTAAAGTCAAAAGCTTGCAATATTTGGAGAGGTGTCTGAAGAGAGGGAGGCCACATCAATGGTTCTCCATTTCAGCATTAAACCAGCTATTGTTCTTGGGGAAGGCTGGGCATCTCATCACAAGAAGGAAGATCATTCGGGGGACAAGCAGTGCTATGGAAGGATTAGACCAACTGAGAGAATCTTTGACTTTCCAGATGTTTTAGTCTGTAGGGAAGATAGGGCCTCGATTGTTTCAAGAAGGAAGATAAGACCTTGATTTTTAACCCTCCAACAAAGACAGTACAGTAAGAGGGAAGTGCCTGATTCCAGCCAGAAGCAACGGTATCACCAAAGGACCCAACAAGAGTATCAAAATAACCCCTCATTCTGGGTGTTAGGATCTCCAGATGGTCTTTCCAGTCTGAGAACCAGGGTCACTTGGGAACATTGCATTAGACCTGGTTCAGAAGGGGGGCTTCAGGTTGCAACCATTGGCTATGTCTGTGCCTTGCAGTGTGACAGGAGGAGAGCTGTTTGACCGCATCATTGAGCGAGGTTACTACACAGAAAAGGATGCCAGCCAGCTAATCCGGCAGGTGTTGGAAGCCGTGAACTACCTGCACGATTTGGGCATTGTGCATCGGGATCTTAAGGTGAGAGTGCAAAAGGCACTGGGATGCTCTGGGGTGCTGCCTCTACTGCCTATTGCGGTAGGTCGGCAGAAGTCTTGGAGGAGAATTTTGCTTGGAGATTCTTGTTTTTTAGGATGCTGATAAGAAAGCAGATCTTGTGATGTTTTCAGGTTATGGTTGCCAGGCTGAATTTAGGATGATCAAGGAAATAGGGCAGACTACTGTCATCCTCAACACAAGCCGCAAATGCTTTGAAAAGATTATGCCAATCGGCATTGCATATATAAGACCCACAGGCTGGATTACATCTCTTTGTCACCTGTTAACATGACCAAGATAGGAAATGAAGGATGGGGCCTTAGAAACGAGAGAGCTATTTTAAGCACACTTGATTTTTCAGCAACTGAGTATTTCTGATCTATGTTTGCTGAGATCATCTGAATTTTACATTGGGAAGTGGTGGTAGAATTTTCTAGTTTCTTTTTGCAAACTTTTATTGCAAATTAAAAAAGAAACCTAAAGAAAATGTATTTAATGTGCTCACCACCACCACTGGGACTAATAGAGATTCTATTTCCTTCCTTTTATGGGGCCCCATTCTCCTTCCAGAAATATACTGACTCTTGCGAAGGTAGACAACCATTGCCCTTTGTTAGCAGAAAATGGATAATTTTTCCCCATATATCTCTAAACATATCCTTATTTGACATTCCTTTTCTTGACTTAATATTGCATATCAATTTATTATCAATGGCAGAATTTTCAGGGGGAAAAATAGGAGGAGGGAGGGTCAATTTGGGCACATAATAAGCCTTCACAAGCGATTGGAAATATTACTGTTTTTGGAGTCTGCCTTGCAGAATGTCCTACTTAATATGGCCACTGAATGTTGTAGTTCAGAAACAACATCTTGAAACTTGATTTTTTTCCTATTCCCACTGATTTCTTCTTTCCCCTTGCAGGAAATGGCATTTGCAAGGGGAAAATTGGTGAGAAGGGGAGAGGTTGAATGCCCTTTCTGGGGAATTCTATTCAGCAAATGCTCCTGCATTTGTGTTCTGAGAGAAATCCAGGGTTTGGCACCTATTGTAGTGTGTTGTTTTGGTTGTCATAGATCCTGCTGTATGCTGTAGGATATAAATAAATAGCAGAACCTTGAGAGGGGCGGTGGATGAGGAAAAGCCTGCTCTTTTCAAGATGTTGGGATCACTGCAAAAAAAGCGCGGGGAGGGCAGGAGATGGGGCAGCGGCCTCATGGGGTGGAATGTGTGGCAGGCAGTTGCAGATCGCCGACGAGATTTTGGTGAACAGAATTAGGTGGGCCCTGCACCCCTGCCCCTCTTGGATGCGGTAAAGGACATTATTCATTTGTCACTAAGAAAATGAGATTCAACGGCTAGTCCATATAGCTTTTGCATGTGGAATTGAGAGGTTTATGGCCTCAAACAGCAAGATGCCCAGGCTTGCCTTCAATTTTGCCCTGCTGCCCAAGCCTTAATCCTAGTGGGGGGCTCCATCAGTCTAAATCCAGGGAAAATGTTCATGCATGCATAGGAAGAAAGCCTGTTTATAATTTCACAGGGGCCTGTTCTTCGCCTCATGAGCCTGCACAATTGCCTGCACAAAGAACAGATGTTTCTTCATCCACCACACAACCAAATGCAACCTATTATCCAGAAACTGTAGGCCACTGGGTGTTTGACAACACTGTATCTGTTGCATTTCCAGACAAGCAGCACTGTGACGAGCATGATAGACTGCCCAGGTCTCACTGACCAGATTTACTGGGTTAGCATCATGGAGCTGGGAGGGGCCTATAAGCCCATCGGGTCCAACTCTTTGCTCAGTGCAGGAATCAAAATTAAAGCAGACCTGACAGACGGTTGTCCAACTTTCTTTTGAATGCCTCCTCCATTGGAGTGCTCACCACTTCCCAAGGTAATTGGTTCCATTGCTCTACCAGTTAAAAAGATTTTCCAAGGCTAAAAGCTTTGGAAAGTAATTTTATAAACAACCTTCCGTGGAATCTGGGAGTGGTAGTCAAAAAGTTAACTTTTCCAAGCTCTGCTACTGTTTTTTGTTCAGATAGTGGAAACTGAAGAAGGATTGGCATTTGTCCCACGTTCGTACAATAGAACATTGGTACAGAGAAGAGTGGCCGGCGGGTTCAAATCTCCACTAGCCTTTGATGCTCACTGGCTGAACACTTGTTGTGGTTTTATCCTTGCCTACTCTACAGAGACTGTTATGGGAACAAAAAGGAATAACCTTCTACCTGACCCTGTCCCAAGGTCTCCCAAAAGTGGGAGATATGTGAATATGTGATGGGTAAATTCCATTCTGTTTTGCTCCCCGGACAGCCTGAGAATCTCCTCTACGCCACTCCATTTGAGGATGCCAAAATTATGATTACAGACTTCGGACTGTCCAAGATTGAGGCCGATGGGATCATGTCCACCGCTTGTGGAACCCCTGGCTATGTGGGTAAGTGCAGCCCTTGGGAAAGTTGGTAGCTGGGTAGGGTGGGTAGCAGGTATAATCATGGGTGGGAAAATCTGTTTCAGAGTTTTGAATTTTGGTTGAATTCCTCTAGTTGTGCAGCAAAAGTGCAGGGATTCACAGAACAACTTCAAGTTCCCCAGACAAGCCCAACCCTCTTTTTCTCTTTAATAATTGGCAACTTCAGTCTCAATAACTCATGGTGAGACATTAGTGGTAGAAAGGGTGAAAACCATTTTTCTTTACTTACAGTTCTAAACAGATCAAACAGCAAAAACTGATAAACATGACTGCTTCAGTCAACAGGTCTCAACAGACTCGCTGACTTTCAGCAGACAAAACAGAGGGGGAAAAGCTCGAAAAGAAGAGAAGCAGGGAAGGAATGAACTGGTTAGTGCTAGACAGATTGACAGTCACCTCAGCCTAGAAAGGTCCCTCCCAGCAACACCTTCTCTAGGCAGTGAGGCTGAAAAAAGCTCCAACAAAAACTACCTGTTTTAGCTTCCATAAAGGCAATTAAGGCAACAATTCCAAGACCCTTCTCACTCATAGTATTACCGAGCCAAGTATCCCTTTTTTGTAACTGTTTTTGTCCCCCCCCACCTTGGTGTAGAACTTTGCACATACCCCAGTTATAATTAATTCTATTGTTTTCTGCTTAAGTGCTTAAGCCTGTCAAAATCCTGTAGAATTTTGTTTCTGTTTTCCAGGATACAGTATTAGCTATTCTGTCAAATTTTGTGGCCTCTCCAAATCTGACGAACATTCCCTGCACTCCCTCACCCCAGTCATTAATTTTTAAAAAATCGAGGATCATCGGGCCCAGGACTGAGCCTTGTGGTACCCCACTTGCTACCTCCTCCCAGTTTGAGAAAGAACTATTGATAAGCATTATCTGAACATGATTCTGTAGCCAGTCGTGTGCCCAGCCCAATCTTCTTGACACAGTAGTTGAGCTTTTGTAGAAAATTAATTTGGTGGCATTCCTATGTCTCTCTAGAATTGTGGCATACACAGAGCCCTTTTTGCAATCCACCAGATTTTCCCTATGGAATGTTTTCGCTAGAGGGAAACTGGCCAAGTCAAGGTCTGCACAATAACAGAGCTGGGAGAAATGTACTGAGTGGAACTCCACACAACGTGCCCCTCCTCAGCTAGGCCTGTGCTCGGGGTTATTACTATTTCCTAGGAGCAAGCAGTGAAGAGGTACAGGTAGACACAGAGTACTGCCAGGGAGTATCTCGGTACCAGGCTGTGTTTTCAAATGCTGTGAATGGAGGCTAGGATGATGCTGAATTTAATCTGAAGCGGGAGGCTGGGGCTTAGATCTGGGTGTAAGCCAGACCTGGAAGGACATCCTTTCTTTTTATCTGTAACTGGGTAGTGACAGAGCAGTGGTTGCTTATTAAGAGAATGGCGCTCTGAATATACTCAGAAGTATTTTGTTTGCATAAAAGACACACGCGGGAGGGAGAGTCCTAAATGAGACAAGCATGGTTAAATAAAAACTTGGAAGATCCCGTTCCCATTAAGCCTCTAAATGTTCTGAGTGATCCTGGGCTTTCAGCCTGATCTACCTCACAGGGTTGTTGTGGGAATAAAAAAAGGGCAGGAGAAAAGACATTCCTTGAACTTGTTGGAAGAATGGCAGGATATGAAAAGATAAATAAACCAGTAGGAGAGGTGAAGGAATAGAAGACAAGCAGAGTCTTATAGAAGATATGGGGATGGTGGCATCCCATGGGTTGGGTGTACTGAGAGCTTTGCAAGGTGACTTTTTTGGTCTACACTGTAGTCCCAAAAAAGAATAACTTTGCCAAGCTCTTGGTGTGCGCTCTGCTGCTGGAGGTGAAACTGGAAGGGGATGGGACAGTGAAGTACCCAACTTCTTCTCATTCTTGGCCTTTGTGTTCTCTGCAGCCCCTGAAATCCTGGAGCAGAAGCCCTATGGAAAAGCCGTGGACTCCTGGGCCCTTGGCGTCATCTCCTATATCTTGTGTGTATCCCTCAATTTCCGTCAGCAACCTCTTACCTGTTAGCACTTGGAACGACCTCTAGAGGGCACTGTGTATACCTTTGCTTTTGTGGGGATGAGGGCTTATTTGATACCTTTGCTCTCTCTGTACTGCAGGCTTTGTGGTTATCCCCCCTTTTACGACGAGAACGACTCTGAGCTATTCAACCAGATCCTGAAAGCAGAATATGAGTTTGATTCCCCATACTGGGATGATATCTCTGAGTCTGGTGAGTGCCGGCTTGAGTGGGGACTGAGAATGGAATGGGAAAGATGACTTAGCCTTCATCATCACTTCTGCTGGCCAGGATTTCTGGGAGTTGAAGTCCAAGAACATCTGGAGGCGCAAGGTTGAGGACCACTGACTTAGCCCATTTCAGCCTTCAAGGCTGCCCAATGGTTGTTTCACTCAGACTGTTCTCAGGATGTTTCCCCGGGTATAAAGCAGGACCTCACGCTCTCTTGCTCAAAGGAGGAGTGCTGTGTCTCAGCCCTCCACTTTCTCTGCCCATGGCTGAGCCTCTCAAATATTTGTTTTTTTATTTTATAGCCCACCTCTCTCCCACTGCAAAACCCAAGGCTACTTGCAATATGCATTAAAGCAGATACAGCTAAAAAAAACACACCATATTCTAGGCCTTAGGCACTCCGGGAGTGGTAGACGCAGAATATGTTTAGGCCTAGATTTGGGAATCACTTATAATTATCAGAGGATGCAATCATAACTTCAGAATTTGCCCAGTTTGCTGTAAAGGCTGCCAGTTGCCAATCTGAGAACTAGAGATATTCCCTGGATGCAAATAACGACTTTTTCTTCGTCCTGCATGCTCTAGATTAGAGCAGCAGTTCCCAGCCTTGGGTAATCCAGGTGTTCTTGGACGGCAACTCCCAGAAACATCGGGCAGCACAGCTGATGGTGAAGGCTTCTGGGAATTGCAGTCCAAGAACGCCTGGGTTACCCGAGGTTGGGAATTACTGTATTAGAGCTTTCATCGCTACTGAAACTCACGCTGGCCTTTAAATTCATCATTAAATCTCAGCATTGTGTGTCGGTTTTTATACACAGAGATCATGGTGCAGGTGCCGCTGCTGAGGCTGTCTGTTCTGGCATCACAAGGGTCTGGCAGCTACATCTACGACTTTGGCCCTGAAATGGCAGGGAATGGGGTGCTGCAGCTCAGCAGCCAAAAGTGCCCAAACTTTTGTCCCACCGGCCATGCTGGCTGGGGCTTTGAGAAAACTGAGGTCCAAAACATTTGGAGGGCCAAATTTTCTGAGTCAGCTAAGGAGCAAAGGGATTCAGGTTGGGTCTGGGTGGAACACTGTTTGAGTACTGAAGATCAAGGGGGTAGAGACAGACACAATATTTTTAGAATAGCTTTAGATCCTCTGCATACTTTGCCCCTGTGCTTAATGTAAGTTTTCTTTTACAACCATACATTGGTTCACATTAGTTTTGCAAGTCTGAAGCAGCGGTCAGCTGGCCATGGGGCCTGTCCCCCCCCCCCCCCGCTGCCAATTCTCCCCCATCATCAGAATGGTAAAAAAACCCTCTTCCATAATAATGAAGGCAACACATGCATGGATAAACAAACAAACAGTAGCCAAGCCAGTTTTGGGTTAGGTGGCAGGCAAATTTTAATTTGATTTGCTATGCTGAGTGCATCTCACAGCTGAGAGACCTGTGTGGAGCTCCCTTTTTACCTCTTACACCTGTCTTTCCACACAGTTTCCAGCACACTCACCCGACAAGCAAAACATTATGCTGCTGAATTCTCCTGAATCTGTCAGTCAGGTTCAGAGCTGGTTATGAATCTCTTTTCTCTCAGTTCATCCCCGAGTATTACTCCCTCTCGATGCTTACTGAAATTTCAGTCAGATCAGGAACTGCTGGTCAGGAAGGTAGCTAGCCAAACTGGGGGATCTTGGCATACATTCCTAAACAGCACTGGACATGAGGGTCTGATCCAGTAGAACGAAGCACAGTAAACTCTTGCTTGTTATTGGGTCAGGATTTTGCAACGTGTAGGGAGGGACAGGTGTTGTATAAAAGGGGGAGCCCAGCACAGGTCCCTCAACTGTGAGATGTGCTCAGCATAACAGACCCAATACATATACTGTAGCTTCAGGAGGTGAACGGATGCCAAGAAAGACAGAAGGCCTTTCTCTCAAATGCATATTGCCTTTTGTTTTCATGTAGCCAAGGATTTTATCCGACACCTACTTGAACGTGACCCTGAGAAACGATTCACTTGCGAACAAGCTCTACAGCACCCTTGGTAAGTCTTATCGGAAGGTAGGATGGCCTTTGTTTTGCTTTTGCTGGGAAGGGAAAACTAAAGAAACATTCCTTCGGTAGGATTTCTGTTCGGAAGAATCAAAGCCAACAGTGCATGGTAAGGAAGAGTTCAGTGGATTTAGAAAAAAAACATTTACTCCTCTAAGAAAAGATACAGAAATATGCTGCACTGGGTGGGGGAAGTCACATTTTATTGTAGTTCATGATTCAAACTGTCTAGATTTTGTATATCGAGTTTCCACATCATCTGCTCTGTTGCTTTAGATTTAGGCCCCACAGTTATATCCAAGGAGAACAAGAGAAGCTCAGTAGCTTTATTTGTAATCCATGTGTGTATGAAACGTGAAAACAGTTTGGAGAAAGAGCAGAGGAAAGTAGTGGGAAGTATCCTCAAGTCCTTCCCTGCTTGTTACCTTCCCTCCACTTGCTATTTCTCCTTTCTGTGTGCACCTTCTTCCCTTGGCTTTTCTCCCAACTCTGCTCAGGAGGCAGTTTGAAGTAGAGAAACAGGGGGAGGCCGAGGGGTCAGCATCCTTCCCTTTGCAGTCTTTCCATTCAGAGTTTCCTGTCTCAACACTCTTGTCCTTTTCCTTTCAAGAAATGTGTTGGCGCTCCATTAGAGTTGTTTGCCCATAATGTGTCGTTAGCTCCTAAAACCAGAGTAGGGCTCATGTTGCCGTCGGCTGTCGCAAGGCCATTTTTGCACACCGCCAGCGTCCCCCAAAATGGTGTCGTCAAGGGTGGGCTGTGATAGGGCAGGGGACGACCTCTGCTTAAAGCAGGTCGCAGTTTGCTTCTAGAGATTTTGCTGCTGAAATTTGACAGCAAACAGGGGAGCCCATGCTTGCTTTGCTATCCATGTCTTATACTGGTTAGCTGCCAAATTTCCATGGCAGACTGTTACAAGCAATGTAAAGGAAGTAATATCCTTGCTGTTAAATGCTCCCCTTCCCCTCCCTGCAACCTTGCAACCGAATTTCAGCCGCAGAACAAATCTTAGCAAATTTTGACCATAGAAAGTTGTCCTCTAGGCTTATTGAAGTTGTCAGCCCTGTCTTCAAAGGACAGGAGATGCCAGAGGCCAGAACTACACTTTCAGAAAGGACCAATGTGGCTTCGCATTGATTTTGGTTGTCTGACATGACATAAGCTCTGGTGCATTTTTCAAAAGGCCCATTGGTGCCATTTTTAAACTGCACCAGGGCTTCTGCCCCAGCTGGCTTGTGCTGGGAAGCCTCCCAGCTTCTAAAGATGCCAGGGTTGGAGCTGGCCGGAGGCAAGATCCATGTGCTGCTCAGCCAGTGCCATGGAGGCTTCCCAGCCACCTTGGTCCTGGTGGGCTGGCACTGTTGTTTCGGCCAGGGATGCGGGGACCTCCAGTGGGTCCTTTTTCCCCCTACGTGACTTCCCCAATCCTGGCAGCGTCAGTGGGAAGCCACCCAACTACTGGCCAGCTTGTGGGCAGGGGACTGTTCCATGTCCTGCTTCAATGTGAAACAGGTGGTTTCATACCTCTTTTTAGACAACCTGCCGAAGAAAACGTAGTGTAGGTTATCTGAAACATGTTGTTCCAAAATTGTTTTGTTTTCTACTTACATGGATATTGCTGAATCCATGTTGCTTCATAGGGGCACCATTTGCAAATCTCCAGTTGGTTTCTGGAATCTATCCTGGCAAGACTGAGATCGGTGGTGAGGTAGCAAAGCAAAACTCAAACTAAAGAATGGCTTTTGCCAAAGACCAGTCTTACATATCCGCTCTACCTTTGCTGGTACAGTGGTGCCTCGCAAGACGAATGCCTCATGGGATGAAAAAGCCGCAAGACGATTGTTTTTTGTGATTGCTATGGTGCCTCGCAAGACAGTTTCTACTATGGCCATGCTGTGCAAGATGGGTTTA